GAGTGAGAAGCCTGATGGTAAAGTCCAGCTGTAGTCTGAGATGACTGGGATCTTGATGAGCCTGAATCCCGTCGTCTAGGTAGAACGCACTGCGTAGACCTCGATGATGTAGGTATGTGACTATGGGCTTCGTCACTCTTGTAAACAACCAGGGGGCCGATGATATTCCAAATGGCAGGACTTTCCATTGGTAGTGTCGTCCATCTAGTAGGAATCTGAGGTACTTCCTTGATTCCAGATGTATAGGAATATGCAGGTATGCGTCCTGTAAATCTATGCTGGCCATGTGGTCCAACGGACGGACGAGATGTAGTAGTTGAGGCAAATGAATCATGTTGAACTTTGCTGGTTTGCGTAGATAATCTCTGTTGAATGTCCTCATGTTGTAAATTAGTCAGAACTTTTCTTTGGAGTTTTTCTTTGGTACGAGGAAAACTGGGGAGTAGAATCCTGGTGAGATCTGGTCCTGGTCTATCACCTCTATAGCGTCCTTCTCTAGTAGAGATGTGACCGCTTCTTGTAGCCTCTCTGTCCGATGGGTTGCAAAGTTGAACCTCTGTGGTGCGTTTGTTAATGGAGGGGCTGCTTGTAGTTGTATATGATATCCGTCTCTTAGGATGTTGGATACAAATTGATCTTGAAGAATTCCCCAGTTCTCCCAGTAGCGTTGTAGACGTCCACCCACTTGGGAAGGTTGAACAGGAACGGCTGGGGGTGGAAGACTCCAGTCGTTCCGAACCCGTCCTTCATCGTCTATAGCCTCTGGCACCTCTGGGTGCCCTGCCTCGTCCGGATCGTCCTCTATAGTTGCCGGATGGGCGACGAAAAGAATCCTTTCCTCCTTTGGAGGTCCCCATTTTCTTTTCTCTTGCTTTCTGGATGCCTGCAAATTTAGATTTGCCAGAGTAGCGTTGGGACGTCTGTCTGATGACACTGGCTAGTGTATCAATGGACTTGATCATCAAGACTTCCCTAGATTCCTTAGTGACTTCCTTGGCAACCTCGTCAATCTCCCCTGCGAAGATGGATGTTGTAGACCATGGAGCTCTGTACAGAGTCTTAGTGAAGCGTTCACTCCAGTTACATGACGACAATAGTCCTTGTCTTCTAGCGAGCGTCAATGCTGCTGATATGGATGATAAATGCTCCGACATGAATTGGTGGTCCTTTTTCTGCGTTAGTAGGGCAGAATAAATCATCCGGTCTTCCTCTGCAGTAGAGTTCCTGAACTTGGCGATGAGCGTCTCATTAATTGCCCTGGATCTGTTAAGTCCGAAGAACATCCTTCTGGTCATAGTGTCTATCTGTGCCAGCTTTTTGTCATCAATCTTGTAAGATTTGGTCCGGGAGTCGTTGATGATTTTATAGTTCTCATCTATTTCTTGTGCCTTCATAAAGGGATCCATGTTATGTAGTGAGAACTTCTTTGCGTTGAACTGTGGGATATTAGGAGACTGGAACTTAGTTGCCTTTCTAAAGGCTGCATCCAGATCCTCTGGTACGTCCGAGATCGGATCAATTGGAGGTAGAGTGATAGTGTCCACATCATCGTCCTTCATTAGGTACGTAAATGCTTCATTCTCTTCCTTAGAGGGTGACGCTAGGTCCAGTCCATTAGCCATCCAATATTTTATCTCTGAGTCCGAAAATATGATACCGCCATCGTCCTCTGTATCATGTCCACTGGTATAAGATCGTTGAATATCCTTTGTTGGGGATCTGCGTGGCGATCTACGTGGCGATCTGTGTGGGGATGAGTATGTTGAACTACGTGTAGTTCTAAGAGGCGATCTGTATGGCGACCTGCGTGGAGGTGAGCGTCTTCTAGGCCGGGATTGCCTTCCTGGCAATGTATTCCTAAGTGGTGAATCCCGTGACGACCTGCGAGGTGTTGTTGACGCCCTTGAAGATAATTCAGATGACCTTCGCGCAGGTGAGAGATTTTGTTGAGGGTCTGAGTCCCGAGATGTCTCTCTAAACCTTCTAGGCGGTGTAGGTTTCTTCCTCTGTGAAGTGGGTAGCCTGCGTGAAGGTTCTTCATTAGCCTCATCATCTGATGACGATCTATTTGGTTCTGAAGAGCGTGCCGTCCTTCGCGCAGGTTTGCTGACGTCATGTAGTGTAGATCTGCTCTTAGTCCTAGAGCTAGATTCTCTGGTAGGCCTCTCAGATGTATCATCAGTGTGGGTCCTTCGTGCAGCACTGGATCCTCTCTGAGGTTGATGACTTGAGCATGAGAGCCGCCTGGCTGTCCATCATGCGAGGTTCTTTCCTGTGCGAAGCGCTTCTCATCATTTCCCTCGCTGCATAAAGGCCCCGGGGTTGAATGTCTGCGACGACTGTAGTGATGTCGTATCTGAGATGGTAGCGATATGGTCCAGGGATCGCTGTGCCTCATGGATCTCTGCTGTCAGTGTAGAAGGTAACTCGGACTGCGTAGAGAGGGCTGCTGACGTTACCGTTGCTGAGGCCTGCTTCCTTTACTTATGCTGTATCTCTGGGATGATCAACAACGGCTCATCATATAAGCCTCTCTCTTCCATCAGGACGATTTCGGCCGAAAAAGTCCTCGTAGTCTGTGAAGAACTCCCCGTAGAGCTGGTTGAAGCCTTAGGGGTGTAAGGCTTCTTCTGCGACGAAGATGGCCTCTTTTTCTTCATATGGGTTGAGGAGTTGTCCGACGTAGAAGACCTTTTCTTCGACGTAATGGCGGACCTCATCCCACGCCCATCTTCTGAGGACGCCTCCGGCAGGTCACTGGATGGAAGTATGTCGTCTGACAACGATAGACAGCTCTTTAGGGACTCAGCCGGTTTAGCCATGACTTGCAAAAGTCGTCTGGATTTATCCTTAGCACGCCTAAGTACAGAGAAATAATAATTATTAAATTCAATTTGTGTTAATTGCTGACATAATTTACAGCGAGAGCTGGAAGTACTGGGGCACAATAATAAATGCGGGTCTGCAGCAGATAACCTAAACCTACAACGAAAACAGGTTTTCATGAAATGTAAACAAACTGAACAATCACGTAAAACCGTGAATAAACAGTCAAATTACTAATAAATTTCAAACCATATTGTAGAAGGATACTCCCTGAAACCTTATAAAGGTAACTTATAGGGAAATAACTAAGTTATCAAAGGATATAGTGCCGTGTTGGAGACACAGGTGCTCTCCCAACCGTCCACTAGGGCGAAGAAGGAAAGAGTGAAGAGTGGGAAGACGGGTGGCGCCGTTTTCCCGCCAAAACCGAGAGGGAGACAACTCTTGGTGAGTAGTGATTTTACGTCTGCTTTTTTGAAGGGAGCTTCAAAAAGGAGATACAAGTGTTCCACTAACGTTCGGGAAAGGAAGGAGACAAGCAATAATACATGAGTCAGGATAAGGAAAAATAAGTAAATGTGTTAAACATATCTATGACATATTTACTGCGGAGATAACTTTGATATGGAATTTGACAATCCCGAGGAAGCCGGTAACTTATCCTTGAATATGGTTCAATTTTTTGTGAATTCGGAATCTCATTATTACTTACTGATGGGATAATATTCTTAAAACAGCACACCAATGGAAGGTGGTATGACTCAGTGCGTTGCCAAACTTTCCTATCGACAATATTATCAAATATATTTGAAGAAAGAATAAAATAGTCAACAACACTAGATCCAGAATGTGATATGTATGTCATTTTTCGCTGATGTCGTTACGAAACTTGTCGAACTTGTCATTCAACGATGACATCTGAGACTGAATGTGGTGTTTTAGGAGGTCCTGGGTTTGATTCCACGTCTCCAGATACAATGAGTAAAGTCATTATCAACAACAACAGGCAACATCCTACACGCATCCCACCGGGCATCCGTATACTGGGGTAAAAACAACGTGGTCGTCGGCTGTGAGGACAAAAACAGCCAATTCTAGCTCTCCAGAGACTTATATCAACATTCATGGTGAAAATCAAATACTTGGTTTACTTATCTTTGTTGATATGCAAATATGTAGCAAAAGCCCACTCCTTATATCACCATGGTGAGTTTAAATGCGGAGCAAAATCACAACGCTCTCCATTGATTTTTGGTCGCCATGAAGTGACACTAACTTTTTCTCAATTTTTGTTTATTGTCACGTGAAGTTTTAGATTTCCATTCTACCCTGCCTCACTATCAAACTACAATATTTGTAGACTGCAAAATGTTTCAAATTGCATGAAAATGATATTGTTGCCCTGAAGTACCTGTACATGAAGACAATTGCAATACAAAATGCAAGGGGTATTAAAATGTAACACTTATTAACATACTGTACCTTCATTCCATATGTTTTAAAATTCAACTTAAAACTCATATACGCATATACAACAAACTAGTGCTTACCGGATTCTGACACTGTGCTTCTGTTTGAAACCTGAAAATCAGATATCATGTATCATTAAGAACTGGCACCTATTGACTGCGTGCTAATAGTTTTATCTCATATAAGCATGGAAAGAATGAGCCTAAAACATTAATGTCCTTATTTTGATCAACATCTTGAAACAATGTCGCATAATGGTTTTGCTTTGAACAGTATTCCTTGTATGTTGTGTGTCAGCCTGTCGAAGGAAGCAAGGTCAGAGTGATGCAGGTCACAGATGTTTAGTATAGGAGAAAACATGCCCCGAGGTTTTGGTAGAGAATGTAAAACTTTGCGAGGGGAGAAATCCCGAGGGCTTTAGCCCTCTGTTTTGGTAGAGATGAGGATTTCCCTCCTCCCTAGGTTTTACATTCTCTACCAAAACCGAGGGGAAGTGTTTTCCCTAACATATAAACCGTCAATGATGGATAATTATAATGTAGATGATCATTTAATGAAGCTACATAACAATAACTGAAGCGCAAGTAAAATAAATTTAATGACAGTAACTATAAATAGATAATTCAGCCCCAAGGACTTTGTTGGCTCGGTGGCTGTGAGGTAGAGCATCTGCTTATTAACCTGATCTATACGGTTCTAATACTGATTGGGAAAACATTTGCACTTTGAAATTGATCTTGGACGATATTTTTCAATTGATTTCAAACACTCATATATCATTTGAATGTTGATGTTCATATAGAGTTAGGAAAAAATAAAACCTAGATGTTTACTGCTGAGATGAAACAAATTGTGGCTTGGTATTAGGCTGACGAAGCATGAATATCATCGTGGCAAACAGACACAGCGATATGTTTGTGATATGCCCACCAGACTCCACTGGGCTACAAGTGTCCCACAGGCTTACTGTTTCATCACAGTGGTTCTGTCCAGCATCACTTACATCTCTACTCTCGCATTACGCTCACATGCTGAGATATAACTGGTTTACTGTTGAAAGGCATTTTCAGTCAAAGTTACTCACTAACTCTCATCCTAAGAGCTATAGGGAATATGTCACTCATGACTTCTTCTTCTGGGCAGGATGAGTCCTACCTCTGAGCCACATAACTACCCTGACTCTGGGATCTGCCCTGGGCAGGATGAGTCCCTACCTCTGAGCTACAGAACTACCCTGACTCTGGGAATAAGTCACACATTATCCTTTCTTCTGAGCAGGATGAGTCCTACCTCTGAGCTACAGAACTACACTGACTCTGGGAACAAGTCACACATTATCCTTTCTTCTGAGCAGGATGAGTTCTACCTCTGAGCCACATAACTACCCTGACTCTGGGAATAAGTCACACATTATCCTTTCCTCTGGGCAGGATGAGTCCTACCTCTGAGCCACATAACTACCCTGACTCTGGGATCTGCCCTGGGCAGGATGAGTCCTACCTCTGAGCTACAGAACTACCCTGACTCTGGGAATAAGTCACACATTATCCTTTATTCTGGGCAGGATGAGTCCTACCTCTGAGCTACAGAACTACACTGACTCTGGGATCTGCCCTGGGCAGGATGAGTCCTATCACAGAGCAGTAGGGCCCCATCCTGCCTCTGGAAATACATTAGTCATGATCTGTGGGAATTACTCAAAAATGTTCTTTCCAAGGTATGTCGAGTCTCACCTCAGAGCTATAGGACTGTCCAGAGTCCGTGAAGGAGTCAGAGAAAGATCTGGTCCCTTGCCGAAAATAATCATCACTCTGTTCCTTTTTCACTAGAGAGTATTTTCTCAGCCATTTTCCTGAAAATATGCAAACAATGGGAATTATAGACTGTAAACTCTAATAACAAAGGATTACATATTCTGGCAAATAAATGTTGCCTATGAGCTCATCACTTCAAAACTGGACAGATGATGAGTAGTTATTTGGGCAATGAATTAATGTAAGGCCCACTGACGTGGCAATTTAATTAGTTTTTCACTGAAGTCAAGGAATATAAATAAACAATGACAATACCCATCTCCACAGTAGATGTCTGCTCCACATTGAGACAATAGTACACTGTCTTATAAGCATGGGTTTATGAATCATTGTAAAACAGTCATGGTATCAGTTGGTTGCAACCCAGCACAAACACATGTAAAGGCAAGTCAATCAGTGGCGGCGTGTGGTCCTGTTTTTCAAAGCTCAGGTACCAAATCGGTGAAGTTAAGCAGCGTCGAGCTCAGAGAGAGTCCTTGGATGGGTGACCGTGTTTGGCAGCTTGACTCCTGAGGGTTTCTAGGACGTGAGTCCTGCCCCACAACGAAGCACATGTGACACATGTGGTCTCACCTTAGGCAAGTGAGTTTGTTCAAAATTGACTCTGTTCACCCAGCAGAAAATGGGTACCCGGTGCAAAAAGTCATATGACTATAACCTTCTAGCGCCTAACAGGCAGCTTGGGTTATCCGGGGTAATAATGTGCTGTGCCTTGATTGTTAGCTCTATGAGCATGCCTAGTGTGGAGTTTGGCGCTATATAAATGGACACATTATTATTATTAATAATTTATTTAAAAGAAACAAACGCACACATTGTGCAAGTCAACATTGGGATTTGCATCAGGAGTGATTGTTGTCAGTGATGCATCACATAACAAAGGGCACTGACACAGTATCAAGAAAAGATTTTGTTTTGAGCATTGTTGTGATTTCAAGCTTCCTCTTTTTTCAGCCAATAATGACAAAGTGACAATGAGTGAAATCAGCCAAATAATGCTGATGATTCTGTCTTCTGTTAAACTATCTTGATTGTGTGTGTTGTGTGTGTTAATGTGTGTGCTGGGTGTGTAAATGTGTGTACTGTATGCTCTGTGTACTAAGTGTAAATGTATCGACTGTGTTAATGTGTGTACTGTGCTGTGTGTAAATGTGTGTACTGTATTCTTAAAGTGTGTAAATATGTGTGCTCGTGTGTGTATATGTGTGTACTGTATGCTCTGTGTAGAAAGTGTAAATGTATCGACTGTGTGTAAATGTGTGTACTGTGCTGTGTGTAAATGTGTGTAATGTATGCTAAAGTGTGTAAATATGTGTGCTCGTGTGTGTGTATGGGTGTACTGTATGCTGTGTACTAAGTGTAAATGTATCGACTGTGTGTTAATGTGTGTACTGTGCTGTGTGTAATTGTGTGTTGTATACTAAAGTGTGTAAATATGTGTGCTCGTGTGTGGCTATGTGTGTACTGTATGCCCTGTGTACTAAGTGTAAATGTATCGACTGTGTGTAAAATGTGTGTTGTGCTGTGCTAATGTGTGTTAATATGTGTGCTAATGTGTGTAAATATGAGTGCTGGTGTGTGTAAATGTGTGTGTAATGTGTGTGTACTATGTGTAAATGGATATAATGTGTGTTAATGTGTGTACTGTGTGTACTATGTGTTGTGAATCTATCAATGTTTCAGTGTATGCTGCAAGTGTCAGTGTGTATGGATGTACCTCGAGGCTCATCCAGAGTGTTCCCAACTTTGTCTAGAGAGTTCCTGCGTGGGTCAGAAGGGCTGAAGGGGATATTGGCACCAGTAAGAGTCGTCTGTTTCCATTCTTCCAATTCGACTACAGAGTGTTCAAATACTGGTGTGTCTGAAACAGTTTCCAGAAACATAACATATTGTTTGAAAGCAGCATATCTCTGACTAGTAACATAGAAAAACGTTTGGTGAATAGCTTTTCTTGACATTCAGGGTCATCGGTCAGGTTGTGGCCTACAGGATGGACAGTATGAAAGTGGCTTGTGTGACATCAGGTGTTGGCTGAGACTATATCGAGAAGGTCATTGAAAACATTTCTTCAGAAATGGAAAATACTTTTCGCTTGGTGAAAAAAAGTGAAGGAGTTTAGTTTTACACCACACTCAGCAATATTCCAGCTATATGGCGGCTGTCTGTATATAATCGAGTCTAGACCAGACAATCCAGTGATCAACAGCATAAGCATTGATCTACGATGTCATGTCTGACCTCCCGATCCAGTTAGTCGCCTTCTAGATCACTTCTAATCCGGATCTTCACGGGTATGGACAAAATGAACATGTACATGGGAAGAATAATATTCTTTATGACAGTAACTGATGGCCCACATGTCCAGGCCTTTCCTCTACACAACACATACCTTAGAAAGTAGACAAAAGTGCATATATCACCCATGTTTCACTGTAATAGCAATGTTTTTCTATACATCCTAACACTGTTGTCAAGCAAGTCTGGTCCTGCTTAACAACGGAATAAGGATCTGTTGTTATTACAGCATAATTAAGATGTTGTAATCCATATTCCCTACTATGTTATCTGTCAACTATCAGATCACAGGGGCGGTGGGGTAACCTAGTGGTTAAAGTGTTCGCTCATCCCGCGTATGACCAGGGTTCGATTCCTCACATCGGTACAATGTGTGAAGCCCATTTCTGGTGTCTCTCACCCATATTGCTAGAATATTGCTAAAAGCGGTGTAAAACTATACTCACTCACTCATTCAAATCAGAAATGTCCATCCAATATACATGTCTTTCAGTTCAAATGAAAATTGCAGCTAAGATAAACAAGCCTGCCTTTTCTCACTGAGTGTAACACAAGAATCAGGAACTGATACAACTACAGTCAACTGGATGCTGGTATGAACTAGTGTTCATTAAATAACTGTTTTGGTCGTGAGTGTGAACGCTGCAGAGAGAGTAACAATATTCTCTGAGTGACATGTGGACAAATTTAGTTATAAACTTATGATATTTGGATATTATCATACAAATAGGTTTTACATCAGAATAATTATAGAAGTCCTACCTAATAAATTTCCATTTCCAGGACTAGTTGGCACTAAGGCATCATTTCCAAGACCAGGGGGTAGAGACTTGTACTGGTCTGTGACCTGGCTTTGAGCTTTAGTGGTTGGCAGAGACTTTGGAGGTGATGACTTCGTGGGAGATGTCTGATCTGGGCTGGTCGACTGTCCATGTGTCTTCCCAGGACTGGAAACTCGCTTGCCATTTGCGATTCGGAAGATGTTTTTGGGCAAACTACGAGGTCGTTTGGTTTTTATTTCGTGGATGCCCTCTGTGAACACAAAGCCTGTGATTAGGTATGCCAGCGAGTTGCATATGGTTTCATACATCTGTTCATCAACTATTTTGCCCAAATTGTCAACAATTCATATCAGTAATTGTAAATAACCTAGCAAATATTGTCAACAATTCATATCAGTAATTATAAATAACCTAGCCAATATTGTCAACAATTCATACCAGTAATCATAAATCACCTAGCCAATATTGTCAACAATTCATATCAGTAATCATAAATCACCTAGCCAATATTGTCAACAATTCATATCAGTAATCATAAATAACCTAGCCAATATTGTCAACAATTCATATCAGTAATCATAAATAACCTAGCCAATATTGTCAACAATTCATATCAGTAATCATATATAACCTAGCCAATATTGTCAACAATTCATATCAGTAATCATATATAACCTAGCCAATATTGTCAACAATTCATATCAGTAATTCATAAATTATAAATCACCTAGCCAATATTGTCAACAATTCATATCAGTAAAATTTTATAAATCACCTAGCAAAACTCATGTTAAGAAATACAAGTCAAAATAACAAGTGTTTGCCACTGATATATGGCAATGTCCCCGCCGCTAAAGAATGGAATATCTACATTTGCTACTTTTTATTTTTGGTCACATACAAGATGTCTGAAATGACTGGTGTCTGCAAAATCATCCAATGTAGGCTGTCAAATAATTGAAAACATTGGGTGCCATGTTTTATGAGATACCGCTTTTAAATAAGTTCGAAAGGTGGTCAATATGTCGTTGTGACCTTGAAGATAAGGTCAAGGTCACCCAAATCAACTGGTGTCTGGGAAATCCCCAAATGTAGGCTGTGACCAAATTTGAGTGAGTGAGTGAGTGAGTTTAGTTTTACGCCGCACTCAGCAATATTCCAGCTATATGGCGGCGGTCTGTAAATAATCGAGTCTGGACCAGACAATCCAGTGATCAACAGCATGAGCATCGATCTGCGCAATTGGGAACCGATGACATGTGTCAACCAAGTCAGCGAAACTGACCACCCGTTCCCGTTAGTCGCCTCTTACGACAAGCATAGTCGCCTTTTATGGCAAGCACATGGGTTGCTGAAGACCTATTCTACCCCGGATCTTCACGGGTCCACCAAATTTGAAGACATTGGGTTCCACAGTCCATGAGATATCAGATTAACAAGAGTTTGAACAGTGTTCAAACTGTCGTGGTGACCTTGAAGATAAGGTCAACGGTAATAACCTTTTGCCCATTCTCAAGGCCAGGTCATACTGTAACACCATAATCCAACAACAAGCCCTACTGTCGGCAATCAAAGCGAGCAAGAGAGTTTTTGAAATATTCTTCTTTGATGAGACATCAAGGACAGAAACACATAAAAAGGGTGAATGTCTCTCAAACATGCTGACAGATCTGGTTTCATATAGGATAGAAATTAGTAGGGTTTATTCTAGTTCATTTGAAACCACCAAATGAATTAAATTTTCACGTGACCAAATAAGATTTCATCAGGTGAAGATATTTTTATACTCTTAAAATGCTTGTGTGTTTTCATCTATACAACTCAACTTTTCATAAGGATATTTTTTAAATTCTCAATGAAACGCAGAATGTTTCCAGAAATATGTGATTTTTTAAATAGAATGATATAGGATCTGATTGTTCTTATCAAACATTGAGCGGTATACTTGATCAGCAGTCGTACTGCTTGATTAAGTACCTTCCCATTCCACAGTCTTAGACGTGTCTTTGGTTGCATCTCCACTAAGGCGCCGGTATCGGAAGTAATGATGTCGGTTGATCTCAAGCTGGGAGTCACTCGGGGAGTACCGTAAACGTTTCTGACGCCTCTGTTCACTCCGCTTCAGTTTCTCCACAAGGTGTATCCCAGCTCCTACAACACAAGTCACAGACATTAACCTTGGAAACACCTCATTGTGTTCACTGCGACTGCCTCTTACAACACAAGTCACAGACATTAACCTTGGAAACACCTCATTGTGTTCATTCCATCTCCTACAACACAAGTCACAGACATTAACCTTGGAAACCTCTCATTGTGTTCATTCCATCTCCTACAACACAAGGCACAGACATTAACCTTGGAAACACCTCATTGTGTTCACTGCGACTGCCTCTTACAACACAAGTCACAGACATTAACCTTGGAAACACCTCATTGTGTTCACTCCACCTCCTACAACACAAGTCAGACATTAACCTTGGAAACCCCTCATTGTGTTCACTCCACCTCCTACAACACAAGTCACAGACATTAACCTTGGAAACCCCTCATTGTGTTCACTCCCCATCTACAACACAAGTCACAGACATTAACCTTGGAAACACCTCATTGTGTTCACTCCAAATCCTACAACACAAGTCACAGACATTAACCTTTGGAAACACCTCATTGTGTTCACTCCACCTCCTGCAACACAAGTCACAGACATTAACATTGGAAAACCCTCATTGTGTTCACTCCAGACTGCCTCTTCCAACACAAGTCACAGACATTAACCTTGGAAAACCCTCATTGTGTTCACTCCAAGTAAAATAAGTAATTAAAATGAAATGTTTCACACCATGATTACAGACAGATATCATAAATTTAATATAACAAATTCAGACTGATTTCTTTGATATATAAAGTCAGCACATACGCTGTAAGGCTAAACAAAAACACTACCACAAATATCCTTCCCTTCAAACAGCAACACTGTTCTACATTACTAATGATAACATTACCATTCAATTATAACTTCATTCACTCCACAATTTGCTATGAATCTAATGATGATCAACTAAACATTTTACACCTGCTTCAAAGTTTTGTCTTGTGATCATGAACATCACTAAGGGAATACAACTAACTAAATTATCAGCTACAAGTCCCCAAGTAGAAACAACAATGATACAGCAATGATTTCAGCTGAATGCAATCTACTTTCAATCTGTCTCTCTTAAACCTTGTTCATAATTTGAAAACTACTGATATAAAATAATCAAAAGTTTATGAGCTCAACAGAGGAAATATAGCTTACACTAATTTGATCTAAACATACAAAATAACAAACATTTCAGAATGATAAAAGATATAATACAACACTTGCTTACAAATATAGAAAATATTGGACAGATCATAGTCACGCTCCAAACACAATCACAGTCCTCAATTGAAACATGATCTAACTGAAAACAAACAAACAAAATGCAAATGAAAAAACACTTAAACATTCCTTAATGAGGCGCGGGTTAATGAGTTTGGTACTGGCACAATATATTTGACCAACTGAAAGAAAAATCAGCATTTAATCATTACGAGTACAGCACAGGCTCAGTGAGTTTCCATAATTATCCCATTTGTAGTGTTTACTTATATCAAGGCTGTTTGATCATAATACCCTCTGACATCAGTATGTAAACCTGAGTCCATTTCTTGTTATAATTTAGTGTGTTATTTCACATTTCTAATATTTCTAAGTGCCAGCCAAATACAATCACATTCTGCCATTATCAATACAAATCTACACTCAAATGTTCTGCATAACAAGCGCAAATGGAATTTATAGCTCGCCTGGATAACAAAACGATATCCCCGATGTGCCTATGTCTGAAGCAACAGCAGCAAAAAAACACCATTCTAGTTACCTGTGTGACCATCGAAACTTTTGACGTGTCATGTGTCATGACAGCATGCATGTCAAACCAATTTGTCATCAGAACCTTGTTTGGAGTCTGATTCAAATAGACAGATGCAAAATTCATTCCTTTAAATGAGACAGTCTGCACAAGTATGGCCCCTAAATTGGATTGGAGGATATGGCAGCGAATGTGTCTATATAGGACAACCATACACGTCTCTGGAAAATCTAGCATGTAAACATATAGTTCAACATAACCTTTGACATGTGTTAAAAAGATCATTTTCATTGCTCATTCATATAACTGGTAACACAGCTCAAAAACTTGATAATCAGTAGACTATTCTATTTGTTAATCAATGTTCCTGTATGAAACCTTCCTTTGTTCAACAATGTTCCTGTGAAGTAACCAATGAAACCTTTCTTTGTTGCACAATATCCCTGAGAAGTAACCTATGAAACCTTTCTTTGTTCAACAATGTCCCTGAGAAGTAACCAATGAAACCTTTATTTGTTGCACAATGTTCCTGAGGAGTAACCTATGAAATCTTTATTTGTTGCACAATGTTCCTGTGAAGTAAACTATCAAACCTTTCTTTGTTCCACAATGTTCCTGTGAAATTACCTATAAAACCTTTCTTTGTACAACAATGTTCCTGAGAAGTAACCTATGAAACCTTTCTTTGTTGCACCATGTTCCTGTGAAGTAACCAATGAAACCTTTCTTGGTTGCACAATGTTCCTGTGACATAACCTACAAAACCTTTCTTGGTTGCACAATGTTCCTGAGAAGTAACAAATGAATCTTTCTTTGTTGCATAATGTTCCTGTGACATAACCTATGAAACCGTTTCTTTGTTGCACAATGTTCCTGAGAAGTAACCTATGAAACCTTTCTTTGTTCCACAAATGTTCCTGAGAAGTAACCAATGAAACCTTTCTTTGTTGCACAAATGTTCCTGAGAAGTAACCAATGAAACCTTTCTTTGTTGCACAATGTTCCTGTGACATAACCTATGAAACCTTTCTTTGTTGCGCAATGTTCATGTGAAGTAACCAATGAAACCTTTCTTTGTTCAACAATGTACTTGTGAAGTAACCAATGAAACCTTTATTTGTTGCACAATGTTCCTGTGAAGTTACCCATGAAACCTTTATTTGTTGCACAATGTTCCTGAGAAGTCACCTATGAAACCTTTCTTTGTTGCACAACGTTCCTGAGAAGTAACCTATGAAACCTTTCTTTGTTGCACAATGTTCACGTGAAGTAACCTATGAAACCTTTCTTTGTTGCACAATGTTCCTGTGAAGTAACCTATGAAACCTTTATTTGATGCACAATGTTCCTGTGAAGTAAGCTATGAAACCTTACTTTGTGTGGAGATACCATTCTTTTGTTTAACAATGTTCTCTTTAAAGCCATTTCAGTCAATTCCAGGAGATGAATTATCCTTTCTAATGAAAGTTCCTCGGCACCTATGTGTGCAAATATTGATTGCCTTGTCACTTATCTGAGGCACTCGCGTCAGGGAACAGGTAAGCTAACAACTGTGTTGACAATTCTTCCACATTATGTCTGTCCAAACATTCTAAACCATTCTCTATATTAAGCATATCATCTCTTACAGGAGTTTGTAACACAATCTCACTTATCATGTTTTTCACTGGATGAATGCCTACCAATGACACTACAGTTGAGAGTCTGGCCTTCATAGAAACTGATAGTTTCTTTCAAAACACAACTGACAGTGACAATGTCTTATCGTCTGTATTGGATATTTCTCACAAATCTCGTGGCTTGCCAACAGCTAAGGGAGACTTTGACAGAAATCCTGGATTCCATCAATTACACAAGAGCCAAGAAGGCACCATTTCCTCCTGGACATTCGATGGTAAATGTTTCTACTTACTTTATACTTGGGGCTATATTGGACCTTGATTATGTGGAACAACTTCTAACATTTACTGCATACATTAGCATTTTCTGGACTGATCCTAGTCTGTCCTGGAACAAGTCACTTTACAATGGTAACATTGACATTGAGCCTAATCAAGTATGGCTACCGCAAGTTAATTTATTCAACGCTGTGAGTGACACGTCTCTATTCTCATCTAGATCCTTCATTACGAGTCTAAATCATAATGGCACTATTTTCGCACAAACAAACGACATGTTCAAGACCATATGTGTGACTGATGCCTTTCTGTTTCCTTTCGATGAACAGAAATGTGAGTTAATCTTTCATACCTATCGAGACTATATCAACCTGCATGTTAACCCCATACGCGATAATGAATACACCTCATATATAAAGAACGGATTCTGAATGGACAGTGATACAAATGACAAGTGGAGTTGCATTCTTTAAGGGATATCCTTTCCAATCAGTGACCTTTACCCTTGAGAGACAAAGTCTTTTCTATGTGTTAAGCATCATTATTCCAATGGCCTTGACCTCCATAATGAATGCTTTTGTCTTCATCCTTCCTGCCGATTCAGGAGAGAAAGTATCCTTTCTGGTTTCCATCTTTGTGTCACATGCTGTGTTCCTCAACTTTGTCTATGACATCATGCCAAGGACATCCACCAGAGTTCCAAAGATCATGATCTATCTCATCTGTATCCTCCTTCAAAGCTTCCTGGCACTCCTGGCTGTCACAACAACCCTCAGGATCAGGAACAACCAACTCCAGGGAGATCACAAGAGAGTTTCAACTGTGGCAGACATAACAGAGGGGGGATAACTCCACAGAGGTGTCCAAGATGAAAGGTAGACTCCACAACTTGGATGCTCAGAAGATGGATAACATCCTCTTTGTGGTATTTCTATCAGCGGCCATCATCAACACTGTTGTTTTTGTTGCCTAACTCATGTCTATGTGCAACATAACCGCAGTTGGAAAGTTGTATATGTCTGTTTTGCACTTGTTTGTGCATAGAAAAACATTTTGGATATCTTCAGATATTTTGTTAATGTCAATTTGTCAGAGATTTTAATGCACTGATATGTCAAGAGATGTGCCACATAAGGTAGGGAAGCTATTGGATGCTTTGTGGTGACTGTGTCCAGGGAGCGGGAGAATTGAATACCCAGCTATCTGTCAATGACCATGTATTTCTTGACATCCAAAGGGCTTCTGACAATTTGACTGTCAGAAGATTTGTTTACAAGTTGACTCAAGAAACAGGAGAGAAAATTGATTCGACTTTGGATGTGGTTTTTAACTGAACCAACTATAGTTTTTTTGCTCTAGTTTTGGCAAAATTAACATGTATTTCTGTGTTGTAGATGATAGTGTTAATGGAATTAGTTTTCCATGTTATATGACTTTTGAATATTGTCATATCAAGTTATTGACATTGTTCTAGCAAATAATTGATACTTCTGTATCAAGCTATCAATGTCATATGTAGATATATATCAAGATCTCAACTCTGTTGTCGCGTAACCGCACTAGGCGATTTACATATTTACATAATTCCAGTTGGAAATGGAGCTTAATTTGCATACTTATCTATAGCACTTATTTTGTCATGATATAACTGTTTTGATATCATCAGATGTTATGTAAATATATTCATGTCATGTTTACTGATATATATACTTAGCGTACCGATATACCTGTGGATGTTCTACATATGGATTTTACA